GTAAGCAATAAATGGAGAAATTACAGCTATATATGTACACAAAGACCTGCCAAAGTCTTTGCTGAGCTTGGGCCTTTACTTGCTTTAGTTTTAAAATCTGATCATATTTGATCATATCCGAGATACATCATATCTCTTCTCTCCATCGTCTTTCAGTTCACACAGCAAGTTTCCAGTTGGCCATTCCAGTCTAGCTGTTCTGTTCTCTTAGGACAACATCTTGAATGTTGATATATAGATGTAGTTGTGTATTTGTAGATCTCATAGATTTTGCAGCTGAAGACTCAGTGCTGGTGGACATAGAAATCCCATTTATTCACAAGAAAAATCTTCACATCTGATCAGTTTCTTCAGCAAAAAGAAATACCCTGCAAAGGGGGAATAGAGGTGTCTGCAGAGGTTGAAGTTCAAGCTACCTCTAAGAATAATGTAAAAAAAGATTTAAAGGGGTTTTGGCAATGGATGGATGGTGAAATGAATATTCATAGATCCTGAAAAAGGGAAACCGGTTTGTTCAATGGGCAATGGCAAAGTCACCTGATGAGCTATGAAATTGTTTGGATGGAAGAGAAGATCTCTCTCTTTAGGGGGAACTGAAGGAAAGGTCAGATGTTGAGTTCCCTTTCAGTCATTCCACCTTAAGTCAATACCTAAAATGGACTAAACCTGAAACCACAAGCACCACAGAAATACTTAGGCAGCTGTCTTGTTGACTGGGGAGGGATGGAGGAAGAGTGAATTAAGTTTGATTCCTTCCTTGTGTCAGTAGCTGCACAGGGAACTGAACCCAGATGATAGTAGAAGGGAAGCCACGTAGCGATCTTTATGACCTTCCTGAAGTCAGTCCCTTAAAACTGCTCAGCAGTTTTCAGATTCACCCTTGAAATGCTTGAAGCAGAAGCTTAGACCAGCTTCTGGGAGGACAAAACACTCTTCAAAATACTGAACAGCTCCTTCCCCTGAGAAATCCTAAAATGTTACCAAATCCAGACCTTCCTCTACTTTTCCGTAGTCATTAGTTAACTGTACTGTTTTAAGGGTCTTATGATTTTAGGGTGTAACCAGCTGATGGTCACATTTCAGTGTATAACTACCGAATGTGTTACGTTTGGTCTCTGGGCATCCTTTTCCAGGGTAAGCATAATTGTTGCTATACACAGGTTAGTGTACATCCTCAATAGAGTAAATGGCCAAAGTGTTTCTGTGTATGTGTGATGATACTCCCACACACTCCACAATTGCTCTCTGTCCAAGTTAATACAGCTCAAGAAAATGTGCAGTTAATGCAGCTTGAATTCATTTATGATCTAAGAACTGAAAGCTGGGTTAACGCTGTGGAACTGCTCCCTAGGGAGGAATTTAAATAAGCCAGTTTTTATTTTGTACATTTGATTCTTCAGAGCTGAAGTCAGCCAAGAAAACCACTTATGATGGATAGTGGTTTCTCCCAACGCTTTTCTGTAGAGAGAGATGTTACCGTAGAGATGCTACTGTAGAGACAGAGGCAGGGAAATGAACAGTTCTTTGCAGGTAAATGGGAACGTGGTAAACAAATTGAAAATATGTTGCTATGCGGTGAAGGATGGGTAGCATTCCTTCACTCCCCATCGCTCAAAATCAAGTCCACCTTCTGCATAAGAATATCAGTTTGCAGAAAAACTAAAGTAGTACACTAAGAAGAATATTCCTAAGAGTTAATCAGCTCTGAATCTCTTGTCTAATACTGTAATATTTGGTTTACATCAGTAAAATGGGTGCTCTCAAAGAGAAATCATCGCAGTTTTCAGAGAAGTATGACTCTTGGAGGGTGGAAATGCCTTTTATTCAAGCAGCAAATATAGTTGGCACAGGGTAGGTTGATTTTGGTCCTTAAAGTTACTTGGACATCTTTAACAAAGAAGTAATTCTAGAATTCATGCATAAGTGTCTCTTCTATGAAGCTTTGTTTCTTATAGCAGTATATTTAGGTTAACTGTACTCACTGTCATAGTTTGTTTTCTCTGCTTCCTACAAAAATCTGAAAAAAATATGCATCCTTAAACACCATTTTTACAATTTGGGTGAGATTCTGTAAAGTGAATGCCATTGAAGTGCATATGTTTATCTCTGTGCATAACTGAATTCCCATATCCTCTGATATATTTTTTCCATGCCATAGTACTGCAGCTACTTCAAAGCAAAACACCATTTAGAAAAAAACAAACCAACCAAAACTTTAAAAAATATATCAAGTAATTTAACAAGAACTGGCACACATTGAAATACACAACAGAAGTGTTTACATTTAGATTTCAGTAAATTATAACATAAACAAAACAAACTATAATTGAAATTATTATCTACATGGCTGCTCTTGAGTCAAATGAGAATTACCAAGTGCACTTATTTTTGCATAAAAGAAGTAAAACACACTTGGCCAATGACAGTCTGAAGTGTGGGCATTCTTGCCAGCTGAGGTTCTGCAACAGCGTGCATACACCTAACTATATTAAAAAAAATAAAGTCGTTGTATGCAATGGATAATGATTTACCTACTTAAGAATTCTTTCACTATACTATCAATAAAAAGAAACTGCCACAAAACAGAGGCTTCCTTACTCCTATGACTGCAACCATCAGATATCAACACTCATAATTTTTCATTTCATTATTTGTGCTCCTTTCTTCAACTGGTCTGCTACATGATTATTTTCAAGTGGGTGGGATATTATGTTTTATGTTGCTCGTGTCTTACGATATCAGTTCTGCAGAACGACTAGGAAATGAAAAGCAATGAATCGGACTGAAATAAAAAAAATAAAAAAATAAAAATCCGGCAATGTAACCTCACTAGTGCAACGAGCCACACAGTGTCTCCGGGACCTCATGGCCTCATACAGCGTCCATGGAGGGAGCACCGCCTTGAGAGTGACCCGCGAAAGCGCAGCAGGTCCGGTGCCCCCTGGAGCGCTGCCCGGCGCCCCGAGGGTGCGGTCCCGGCAGGACCGGGCCTTGGAGAGGCCACGCTCCACCGCGCTCCTGCCGGCGGCAGGGCGGCACTGCCTGGGGTCCCAAAGCCTCTGCTCTCGCCGACGGAGGCTGAGAAGGCTGGAAACCCAGGGCAGAAGACCCGACAGCGGGCAGGAAGGGCCCGGCGGGGAAGGGGTGCGACCCCCAGACCTTCCTGCCGTGGACGGGGCGGCGGGAGGGCACAGGAGTCCGCCCAGGAGAACCAGACGGGTCCTGGCGAGGAGAAAGTGTAGAAGGAAAAGGGGATGCCCTCGTCCTACCTCGGGTCGGTCGGGGAAAGGGAGTCGCTTGATCCTCACGGTTGGAGATAAGAAAAGTTAACGCATTAAAGCTCCGAAGCAAGTGGTGACCCCATGCAACGCCCTCATCTTTCCGGGCCCTGCTCCCGAGCGAGAGGAGGGTATAAGCTACCTTATCACATTGCACCTGCCAGTGAGCTCCGGGGTCAGGGACGCGGGAGCGACTGCCTGGCCGGGGGCTCCTCCAGGCAGTGGGAGCCCGGGCGTGTCGGGGGGGACCTCCACGGGCTCTTTTAAAAGAGAACTCAGAGACAGGAGCACAGAACCAGGGCGGCATTGCCTGTGTGAGGGAGGGAGGAACGGCAGGAGGGAGGGAGGATTGAAAACAGCCCCCCGATTCGGCCGTCATCTCGGAAGGAGAGGCTCTCCCGGCAATCACCGACCCCAGCTCCCGAAGCACCTGGCTCTGGCTCGTTCCCAGCCCGTTAGTGTTTGCCTGCTTGGATGATGGAGGACTTCGGGTTGGTAATAGAGATTTCCCACCGTCGGGAGGAGTGGATGAGTAAGTAAAGTACGAGGGTGGGAGTAGCTAACGGGGTCCCACGGTGTTTGAGGCGACCCGCTGCAGCCGGATACAAAGAGAAGGCTGTACAGTGAAGAAGAGCAGGGAAGGCACCCAGATGCGGAGATAACCTCTCAGTTGCTTCCGAGCTAGACGTCTGGCCCACACAAGCACTGCCGAGAGATTCCCGTCCAGGAGACCATGACGTTTGGGCAAAATAGAGTAAGACCCTGCAAGTTACACTGAAGGGCCGGCAGGCTCTGTTCCTGCCAGGGGGAAAGAATCACTTACAGAGAACGAACAGAAACAGCGCTCCACAGTTAAAATTAAAGCTCCCGCGGGTTGCATCGGCCGCCCGCCCCACGCGTGGGAGGGTATCGGCGGGCGGCGCTCCCGGGCAGCGCTGGGCAAGGGGCGCCGACGAGCTACTGTGCCGTGGCGGCTCCTCGCGTGGGCAGCGCCGTGCCGATGCCAGCTCCGGGGCCCGCGGCGCTGCCGGAGGGCCCTTCCAAAGGGCAGGGCCCCTCGGTCCGGCCCGACAGCGATACGCTTCCCAAAAAGCAGGCGCTTGCGGAGTGATCTTCGTGGGGCCCAGCTTTTCCTGACAGCGCTGGTAACACGGGTTCCCCTGGATGTCCTGCCCCCGCTCCCCACAGCCCCGCTCCACACACAGAGACTTTCTGTATTTTTTAGGTCAGGTTTGCACCCTTGGCAGCGCACACAGGTGAAGCCAGTAGATGAGACCCTGCACCCGTTTAGCCAGGGAAAGCACAGCTCACCTCAGCCTGCGCTTTTCTTCAGGATACCGTAACAGAAAAAACAAACAAACAAACAAACAAACAAGCCTCCCACAACAACAACAAAGAAACAAACCAAAACAAAAAACCGAACAAAACAACCAAACAAAACAGTGTACAGCGTGGTCAAAAACTGGTGCTACTCACTCTAACCAGAGTTGGGAAAAAGCTCTGAGTTAATAGGGCCAGGGCTACTGTCTTGACTTCTGAAAAACACATAAGCAGCTAAGTGCTCCTGGAGAGCTCCTGCTTACTAGACCGCGTCCAGCATCCTAGGAGAGTGCTTCGCTTCTGCTGAGCCTGCTACAAAGGGTACTGATAAATCGCACTGGACTCGCGGAGCATCCTACATAGGGTTTCGCAGAGACTCAAGCGCAGGGCAAGGACAATTACCGAAATACCCTTTTCCAGTGGCTATGGGCAGAGCCGTCATGACACTCTTCTTCACTCAAGGAAGGCGTTTCTCCACCAGGATTGCAACACAGCAACCGGAGCTGAAGGGTATTTCCAGCAGCGGCTGGCTCTGACTCGGAATTGCTGATTGTACACCAAGTCGAGAGGCTCTAAGCAGATTACAGAGGGGAGCCTAACTACGCTCTCACCTCTGGGAGCAACCTCAGGAGCGAGTTGAGCCCGCAGCCGGACAACAGGAGGCGCTGAGGCTTTGCACAACCCCCGGTTCCCCTTCCCTCCCGAGCAACGGGCATCCCAGCGAGGGCGGCCCTGGGGGAGGCCGTCCCGGAGAGCGGTTTTGCCGGGCGCCACGTCTGCTCCGCCCGGCGAAACGCCTCCGCGGTTTGTAGCAGCATCCGATAAGCTTCACCAGCTTCGTGCCTACCCTTTTTTCCAGGTACGAAGTGACCCAGCATAGGCTGCCCGACGTCCCACCGGGTGTTGCTCCCGCGGGGCTGGGCTCCGGGAAGGGGCACAGCACCGCCCCGAGGTCACCCAGCGGAGGGGGTGGGGGGGTGTGCCACCACTGGGGTCGCTGGGGCAGCTGCACCCCTGCCAGCCTTCCCGCTTGCGTCTGTGCCGCTGGGGGCGGTCCGTACCCCACAGACCTCAAGTTCTGAAACGAATAAGCCACTAAAGAAGTGGCTCTGTTTTCAGACATATACACCGCTTCCACTACGTAAAGGGGGGGTGGGGGTGTGCATACATGAAGACGGCAATTTTAATATCTCTTAAGTATTCCACTGGGTTTTGTCCCAATTTCCATGAGTGTAGTTTGACCATTTGAGAAAGCAGAGGTTTAATCCAGTGTTTTTATATATTTTATTTCCTTCAAGACACATTTTCATCCATTGTTCTCCTCTGCTGATTCCAGAGTTGTGTTTATTTCGAGGATTTAATTCTATTGCCAGATAAGGAAAAAAAAAAAAAAAAAAGACGAGGAGGGAAAGAACAAAGAAAGGGGTGACAGAAAATGCTTTTAGACGACAAGTTAAATATATTTTTAGAGGCAGAGATATGCTATATCTTGTCATTTGAATCCTGGGTCTCTGTATAAGAAAATTTAAAATCGTGGTTTTGAGGGTGACATTTCCGCAGATCACTCGAGAACAAATCACTGTGGAAACAACTGTGGTCGTGCTGAACGATAAACATGTCAGGCCAAAATTCAGACCGAGGTGTGTATTATACTTTGTGTGTATGACACGCAAGCCTTTTCCAAAATCCCAAGAAGCTTTACTTGCCCTTCAAATTCCCATTGTCAGGAAACTTGTTTGGGTTGGGGGGGCTTGTTGGGTTGCTGGTTGGTGGTTGTGGTTTTTTAGGTTTGTGTTTTTGGTTTATGTTTTTCACTCTCAGGCGATAAAAGTTCTAGTAGCTAGGTAGAAACAAACTCACAAGGGATAGATAGAGAAACCCAAGAAAAGTCTGTGGTGTTTACATAAGCTCGAAGAGCCGGACAGGACAGAAAATGTTTGATCCATCTGCAAAGACTGAGAGATTCCCTCCATAATAATAAAAAGCTTTGTCCAATGTCAATTTGTTTTATCGGTGTTTTTTGCCTTTTACCAGTCTGTGCAGGTTCCTCCTCCCCTGCTCGTTGTGAGAAATCAGGTCAATAAGCAAGAAGTTGGTAATGAGATACCCGCTACTTATTATTGCTGCTCCTGTCTGTCATCAGAGAAGGCTTCCAAATGAGCCTTCTGGGCTGGAGGCTTTCCACAGTAAAGATATAAAAGGGTTCTAGTGACTCACCTGATGTTTGCCAAGTGGAGGTTAATATCAGTGGATCCGCATTCAAGCCACTGTCCGTATTTATTGGGTGCCTGTAGTATTGTCTCAGCGCGGTGACTCACATGGTTTCTAAACCTAAGGCACCAGAAAAGCAATATCATTATCACCATCTACATAGGACAGCACCCCCGGCTGAAGACCTAGTTCAGACTGGGGCGCGGGTGGGTGAGGGTGTCGAAGGGTTTTGCGGAGAGCCCCGAGGGCGATGGGAACGTGAGGTGCCGCGATCGGGCCTGGGGGTACCTGCGCGGTAACCAACTTTGATGTGAGGAGTGGGAGCAGGGGAAAGGCCTGTGGACTGCAAGACTCGGGACTTTGGAGCACATCCCGGACACAGAATTAAAGGAGCATCTACCAGACTTTAGTAAATATTGCCCCTAATCTCAGAGCTTTAAGGCTGGATGGCCTTTTGCGTTCTCTTCAAATAGAGGGGGCTGCCCTTCCCTTATATACCTCATTTCATTTCCTCCTATCCCTCCTAGCATTTGTCCCATCCACCTGAAAGGGTGGTCGTGTCCGTCCGTCACCCGTCCCGTCCCGCCCCCCCTCCCCCCACCACCTCTGTCTCTCCTTCTTTCCCCACAAGCTTAAACCAATTACACCGCTTTGCAAATAAAGGGCCGCCCCGGGGGGAGTTGCAGGCGAGGGGGACTGCCTTGTTTGCAGGTGCATCTCCGGCTTTGTAGGTGCGAACGCCTTTGTGCGGCGGACAAATGGGGAGAGGAGGAGGAGGAGGTGGGTACTTCTGCGACGTAAGATCCACATCAGCTCAACTCCACTCACATCCCAGCCGGCACTTCCTCACTTTCTCAACTGTCTCGCCCCACACCGCTCCCTGCCTCCTTTTTGGCTGATTATAGAGGAGAATACAGCACCCCCCGCCCCTCCTGAGAGCTGGCTTCCTGCTAGGTCGGGCTTTCGGGCTCTTTTCCTGCTGCCCGTCGCTCGCTTACAAGAGGGCTGGATGGTTACACCGGGCAGGTTAGCTCCATAATGTTAGGGACTGTGAAAATGGAAGGGCATGAAACCAGCGACTGGAACAGCTACTACGCTGACACTCAGGAGGTGAGTAAATCCCACGGTCTGGCTTCGCAGCTGCCCCTCTGCAGGGGGAAGGGGGGCCTGAAGGGGGGCCTAGGAGTCTGGGGGGCAGCAATCGGAGAAATCGGTTTGCAGTCCAGATCCTGCCAGCGCAAACGTGCTTCCCCCTCCCTCCGGCGCCGAAACTCACCGGGCTTCCCCAAGGAAAACACTGCTTCCAGGAGCCCTGGAGGCGTCTGGAGGAGACCCGGGGTGGCTGCAAGCCCTCTGGGAGGGCCAGGGGGCTGGGGACAGCCCTTGATCTCATCTAAAAGGCGTAATCTCCGCTTGCGGCACGCACAAAAGCGCCCCGTAAACTCCTAGTTTGGGGCAGAGGACTCGCCGCGCCGCCGGCCCCCGACTCCTTCCCGGCAGATGGCAGGGGGCAAGGGAGATGGTCGTCAGCGCGTCCCGCGAGGGAGCAACGCCTTCCCCGAGCTCCTCAGCGGGACAGCCGGCCTCACTTCTCGCCGCCGCCGGGCCCTCACCTGTTTAAACCGGGGGAAAGGAAAGGAGGGGGAAAACCAGCCGTTTGTCCGTACTTTGCGGACAGGCTGCCTGCGGCGCGCGCTGCTGCCGCGGGCCGGCTGGCGGCGCTGCCGGGAGCCGGGCCGGGAGCAGGGCCGGGAGGGGGCCCGCACCCGGACCTGGGGGCCCGCACCCTAACTCAACGGCCCGCACACGGACCCGGCCGGGCCCGCGGCACCCCCGAGGCGCTTCCGCCCCCGCGCCTGTTTGGCAGCGCCGTGCACAAGGAGGAGGAGAACCGGCCCAAGCGCCCACAGCTGCGGAGGAGGAGAGGGCCACGGCAGCCCCCGGAGCCATCCGCCCGGCACGCCTCGGCCCTGCGGGGCCTGAGGTCCGCACTGTGCTGCCGCGGCTCTGCAGCGGGGGTCCCGGGAGAAGCCAGCGCCCGGCAACACGACCAGCAGCACCGCGGATTCCCGCCCGGGAAGGAGCTGTTTTGAGGAAGTGCAGCAGCGAGGCAGGCACCTGGGTGTGCGCACCCGGGCATTGCATCAGCATACCCGGACACACGGCTCCACAATCCCCACGTCTTGTCCCGCACCCGGAGCTGGCGCCCATAGGGCCACGCGGACACAGGCAGATACGTGTCACCCAGCTGGCATCTTCTTTAATAAAGGAAAGTCGGCTAAGGGCAGATAAGGGTCATGCTAATTATGAGCTGTTTCCAGACTCATTTATCCTCGCCATATTCATTGTCCACAAACACAAAGTTAAGCGACCTTCGCTTTTGCTATTTTTTTTTCAACTTCAATCTTTTCTCCTCCTTTGCTATTTAATTGGAATCACTACATGGATGCAGGGTGGAAAACCTAACCGCGTTCTACCATTTGAAATAATTAATGTGATCCTCAAAATTAAAAGCGCATTTATAAGCTCGTGTGATTTGTGGGGATCAGAAATTAATTTTATACATTTAACCGTCGCTTAAACCTAATTTTCTCAGTCCTATTAGCTGTAGTTCGAGGTAAACTGGCAGCATCTTTCTCTCTCCTGTTAAATTGGATGCCGTGGTGGACAGTACAATTTCAGGCTCTTCGGTTCTACTTTTTTTTAAGAGTTGTTTTATGTAAAAGGGTGATACGGTTTTTCCATGTCTTGCAATTGTAGAAAATCTCAGCCAGGAAAAGTTTAGGGGGTTTGGACTTTGGGAAAGTTTGTGTATATGTTTGTTTGTTTGTTTCGGGGTTTTTAAACTTTAATTTAAATACTGTTTTGATAGAAAATGCAGGCAAGGGAGAAGCTTCTCAGAGATAAAATGCACCGACACAAGCTGTTTGATTTTGGTGGGGCTTTCTGTTATTAATTTGCGACAAGATATAATTGCATCTTGTATATATCTTAGACTATGAATTTAAATCAGTGTAGGAAGGGAGAGACGCGAGAGATTTTTCTCAGAAAACGCTAGCAGTCTTTCTCCTTGGCGCAAACAGTGTGCGCCTGTCAATTTCCATACTCTGATGATTTTAAGTATTTAGCTAGCGAGACAGGACACAAACCCAACAAAATGCAGGAATGCTCCGGGAGAACACCTCCTCCCGGGGCAGACTGAGCCCGCAGCCCGTCCCCGCGAGTGTGCGGAGCGGTTCCGGGAAGACCATCGGTCCGTGCACCTCGCTGATCCTGGTGCAGCCCGCGCAAGCCGCGGCACGCCGATAAACACGG